GGAGCGGCTGGTAGTTTCGAACTGCTGACCTTAAGGTTCGCAGCCCGATTCATAACCACTACGCTACCAGAGCTGTAAATATGACTTACTATATAAGTATACATCTGACTTACTATACAAATATTTATAAAATTCAACTGATAAAACACTGATCTATACCTTTATTTCTCAGAGTAAGAAAAACTAGTAAAGTGAGCAATTAAATGGAAGTGAATAAAAACATAATGCTACACAATAAATCTGTTGTTGCTTTTGTTAAGTGGTGTCAAGTCAGTTCTGACTCATAGCAATAAAAATTTTTAGTAAACAAAAATATCAAAGTGTGAAGCCATTGTTTCTCGACACCTCTTCCCCCATCCAGGACTCTATACTTCTGAAGGGGTGCTTCCATCTCTCTGACCCTTCACCTGAAGAATTCGGTGTTTATTTACACATCAAAACTGCAGTTATGACACCCTGGTACAGTTGTGCTATTAAATGCCATTCAGTCAGTTTTCTGATTCATGGTGACTTTGTATCAAGTTTCCGAAGAGCAGCTGACTGAGTTTGAACAATCAACCAACTCTGCGGTTCAAACTGACCTTGTAGTTCAGTGCTTATCCTACAGCACATCAGGACTTCAGAGAAATAATTATTATGTGTGAGAAGAAAGCCTCATATCATGTACGTCTTTGAGTTTGAGGATCGGTGGCATTTAACAACATAGGGTGAGTGTGGTAAGCCTGACCTACTAGGATGGTACTTACTTACTTACCCTCAAAGAATGCACAACAAGTACAAGTACATTTTTGTGAAGGGAAAAATTCCTCAATGCAACTTTCCTGGTCTTTTCCTCACCAATGCATTTTCACATTTTCTTAAACCATCTTCCTAATAATAACCTACATGATCACCTCATGTCTCTTGAGAAAATTCTATTAAGATTACAACCCTTTAGATTCCCAAAACAGTCACTATATCCTTCTGAGAAGTCCTGGTATGGTACTGTAGGATAAGAACTAGACTACCAACTTATAGGTCAGAGGTTCAAACCCACCAGGTAGATGCTCCTCAGAAACTCTATACAGAGTCACAGTGAAACAGAATCAACTCAGTGGCACTTAACAACAACAAAACCTTCTGTGCTAACCTCTCTGCCTCACTCATTACTGAGGTCTTCTCAACCTTCCTTAAAATGCTTATTGTATCTAAACACTGTTAGGTGGACAGCATTAAACTGGTTGCAAAACTTTAATGATTTGGGAAAATGTGCAGTTTAATTCTTTTGAACAGGTGTTCTTAAGTGCCATGAAGTCGATTCAGACTCATAGCAACCCGTATAGAGTTCCCAAAGAGCAACTGGTGAGTTTGAACTGTTCAAACAGTTTTTATTTTGATGCCAAAACAAATGTAAGTCAATGATTTTGATCTCCTGATTTTGAAATAATTTTTCCAATGTGTTTAAGTCTGTAATGTCTGCAAAGATCACTTCTTTCCATATAAGGATATCATTTATTTTTAAAAAACATTTTTAACTTTTGATTTTTATAAGATTCAAATACAGTTTCTACTATAAAAAGTAAACTAAATTGTAATCAGAAACCTTGGTTTTAATTTTGCTTCTGGCAGTAATGAGTTATATAACCACTGTACATCTCAGCTTCTTGTATGGGAGATGTAGGATCTATTTCACCTAGCTATTCACCTGTCTTGTTTGCAAGAATAAGAACAATCCATCTGAAAATGTCATCACTGAAATAATTTTCTGGGGTAGCATCCACAGTTTCCTTTAATAATCAATGCAAGGAAAAAGTCACTAATCTTTACTGATAACCTCATAAAACTATTTCAACAGTGGCTCATATAATATATACAATAAGAACATGCTGAGAATCTTATCATTTTAATTCATCTATCTAAAAGAATTACAAAAAAGAGAAAGTCAGTGTTTTATTTTCATAAAGTTCAGAAAAATACACAAAACAGTTAAATAACTGCCTTACCTACCTTTTCAAGTCATCAAATACATCTGGCAACAAAAAGTTTAGCAATGACCAAAGTTCTGATAAATTGTTTTGCAAGGGAGTACCAGTCAAAAGAAGTTTGTTATCAGCATTGAATCGTTTTAACTCCCTGATAAGACGGCACTTCATGTTCTTAATCCTGTGTCCTTCATCTACTATTAAGTATTTCCAAAAGCAATGCTAGAAAATGAATTGAGGGAAGAATTTAAATATAATAATTTCATAATGTTGCCTAAAAACAATTTTGAAATTAAGACTCATGTCTTTATTTGAGTTGGATACTGATTTTTAGAATGTATTTCAAAATCTATTAGGATGATGATTTCCCTTAGATCCATCAATGGGAAAAATTAATAATTTCCTATAAATGATTACAATGATTAAAGGACAGTCTTTAATGTAAGAAAACAGAAATCCTCACAACTGCACCAATAAACAACATCATGATAAACAGAGACCAGAGAGCCCTGGCTGAAGACATCGCTGAGAAGAGGCTGTCCTGAACAAATACTCATATTCTGAGCTTTTCTGAACCTGAATGTGGCAATGATTTTAATTTTACTATTAGAGATTATCTGTAACTTTCACCTCAACTATTCTATAAACCTCCTGTTAATAGATGAAAATACACAATACAATTAATCCTATCAGGAAACAATTTTTTTTTTTAATGCTACTGGATGGTGAGAAAGTACAATGAATTAATAGAAATATGATTCATAGATAACAAAGACAGTGAACAAAGAAAGTGAAGATCATTTGTACCTGCAATGCATTTCGATCTCTCATGGCTATCTCAAATGATGTGATCACCACAGGATGAATCTGCAGTGTCCCTTTCCGTTTGTAAATATTTTTTACCAATTTCTGACGTTCCTTCTGGGTTCCATGATATAACATAGTAGTAATCTACAGGATTTGATACAGATTTATAATAAACTTTAGAACAGAATATAAATACCAACTATTTAGAAAATTCATATAGGTCATTTTCTGATAAAATATGTAATTTAACTTAATTCTTTTTTCTATTTTTTTGTAACAAAATGAGTCAAGAAGTGCTAAGGAATCATGGGATGAATCAGAGAAAACATACAAAAAAGTCACAAATACAAGATAAATCAGATTACGGAGAGGGAGTTGGGGAGCTACTTTTTAAATATCATTTACTTCTCATAAGGCAAGAATGTGAATAACATAATGTGGAACACAGAAATGTGTATGTGGGAGACAAAAATAAAACACTGTGAGAATAAACAATCTTTTTAAACTTCTACGTAAGTTTCCCTCAAGTGAAGCAAATTATCCACATGCACAGAAAATCATCTAAACACATTTTGGCAAGATGACCAAGTTTATCAATGCCTATTGCTCTATATAAAATAACGTAGGTTATGGTTCTGATTGAAAGATAAGTCGTATAAGGAACAACAGTCAATCAAAATTTAGTATAAACTATAGAAGATGGATATTTTAATTTCATTGAAATGTGTGAAATAATATATTTTTAACATAAATAAATATCTTACTTCTGGTGTAAATCTTTTGAATTCAGCCATCCAGTTAGGGAGTGTAGACAAAGGGCCACAGACAAGAAAAGGTCCAGGTACTCCTCTCTGAATCATCAATGCAATTGTAGCAATACACTGCACTGTCTTTCCCAATCCCATTTCGTCAGCTAAAATGCCATTTATACCATTTTCCCAAAGCATCTGAACAAAATAATACACTGTGTTTATTAAAAGCACTTAATGAATTAGCAATGGCTTTCTTTTTAAAAAATCATACCCAAAGATTACAAATATGACATATTCATGTATCCTGGTAACATCTTAAGTTCTAACAACACTTGTGGAAAGCCAATGATCAAAACCTTAAAAATGTCAGTAACTTTTGACAAGATAATTTTTTATGACTAAACAGTGTGAGTAAAGAAATCAGAAAAAGTATTTACACACAAGTATAACAATGAAACATGGGAGGAACAACTAAAACTATGATGTATCAAAATAGTAGATGATATAAAAATGAAAACATTAAAAAGTGACAATTCATTACCCTAAGCCATTCCATGCCTTCTACTTGGTACCAACGCATTACTCCTCCCGTGAAGTGCTTCGGTTGCTGAAAGGGGACTGGCTGTCCATTACATTTGCGAACGGGGTCATAAAAGAATTTAGTATTCTGTCTAACAGTTTGAGACAATCTATCTTTAATTATACTATTTGAATCGTTATTTTTCTGAAGATCTTCCATACAGAGATTAGTAGCAGAGGAGCAGTCATCCTATTAAAAAAAAAGCTTAATTAGAAATTTGGTACGTAATGCAGCCCCATCCAAATTTATTTCAGAAGATGTAACTATGAATTAAAGTTTATCCAGTCCTATGGCACCGTAGGATAAGCACTAGACCGTAAGGTTGGTTTGAATAGCAAAGTTGGTGGTTTAAACTCACTAGCTGCTCCTCAGAACCCTGTATAATGTTGCTATGAGTCAGAATCGACTCGATGGCACTTAACAACAACACAAAAGTGCTATAACCATAGAGAAAAAAAATAATAAAATAGTAAAAAAATTTTAAACTTCTGATTAAAATTTATCATTAACGATAAACATTATATGATCCCATTTATATGTAATATCTAGATTAGGCAAATGCTTAGATACAAAAAAGCTTACTATTTAGTTAGTATCAGAGATAGGAGAAGGAGGAATACTGAGTTTCTGTTTGGGATAATGGTTAAATTTTTGGCACTGGATACATAGCACAATGTAATTGATGTCACTGAACTGTACACTTCTTGTTACATACATCTTATAAAATAAAAACACATTTACCATTAAGAAAATATGATTGGGAATCCATAGAGAAAACACAGTATAAAATCTGACAAGGAACTTTTATCCAGAGAATGTATCAATAGAAAAACTCAATATATAAAATGGGCAAAAAATATAAACAAATATTTTACAAAATAAAGCATATAGCTATGAATATGAAATTATGTTAAATATCATTAGAAATTTTTAAAATGCAAATTAAAATGACAATAAGATACCAGTGACTAAAAAGATTCAGCTGGTGAGAGAATAAAGTAGTGCCATTACTTTGGAAAAAGATCTGCACTTTCTTATAAAGATAATCAATAAACATAAACCACATGTCTCAGAAATTCTTAGACATATATTTAAGAAACATGAAAACATGTCCACAAGGAGTCTTATAATAAAAATATTAATAGTATTCTTACTCCTGACAGCCATAAACTGGAAACAATCCATATGCCCGTCAATGAAGTCCTGGTGTAGTGCTGTGGGTTAATGTGCTGGACTGAAGTCACTTAGAAACACAAGGTTGGTGTTGGTGGTTCAAGCTCACCAGACACTCTTCGGAAACCCTATACAGGGTCGCTATGGGTCAGAACTGACTCAACAGCACTTCACAACAACATACCTCAATTAAACTTTTTTTTTTTTTTCAAATAGAACAAAGGAAAAAATGGCTAGCATCTTTTCACTAAGTAGCTAACTTTCAGAAAATTTTAAAAAAAGAATAAAGAGAGTTCCCAAGAACTTTGCAAATATGTTGCTGTTAAGTGCTATGAAGTCAGTTCTGACTCATAGTGACCCTAATACGGGATTTCTGAGCAACATCTATGAGTGTGAACCACCAACCTTGTGGTTAGTAGTTCAGTGCTTATCCTACAGCACCACACGAGGACTCCTTGCAAATATAGAAATGAGACCTAATAATCTGATACAAAAATAGGACAATTTAAAAAGTGAATCCTCTTAAAATGAGGTCACAATTTCATAGCATATAGTAATAGAAGATCAGATTGGGATTTTATCTTTAAAATTATAAATATTATAAAGGTAAAGTTTCATATTCTATTATTATATAACATAACTATGTTATATATGAAACCATGAAGTAATTCTTACAATGAAGAGTGAAAATCAAGGTACTTAATGGCATAAATTTTGGACAAAATTATATGATAGACAAATAGAATATCTCCCATTTTATAAACATACAATTAAGGGCCTATTAATCTTTTATATAAATGAAATTTTGAAACTAATATCTACTAGTGCATAATTCTGTTCTACTGACATTTACTTCTCTTATTAATTGTAGGGGCATGAATAGTGAATACATGGATAACAAGGAACCGCTCTACATAAAATAGACAAAAAGAAAATCAAGACTTTTCTAATAGAACCAAAGAAAATCTATTAAAGGCCAGAAACAGGATTAAGGCATCCTCACCACTTCCTCACAGATGGCTCGTGTATAACATCACATGGTTACAAACAGCTTGCATTATTCCTAGACTTACAAGGACCCATGCATTAGTATGTATACATCAAGGAATATGCAATAAAACTAAAAATTTGATACAGAAGAAAGTATGTTTGAATAAGAGGTAAAACATTTAAAAAGAAAACAGAAAAAATAAATGGCGAGGAAAATGTATAATGGTGATTAAAAGAGAGTAGTGTAAGAAAAGCAAATAGAATGCCCAAAATTAATTTCTATCATAATCACTTACCTCATCCTCCTTTTTGCTTTTTTTAGCCACAGACAAAATTTCCTGTTGAGAAAATTAAAATAAAAAACAATAAGGCATAAGCTCCATTCATTCATTTATTTAACATCTGTTTTGTGCTGATTTTATGAGAAAATGAGGTGAAGACTCCAGGTATTTGTAACAGAGACCTTAAATTGATGACTTAGGCAAAATCAGGACTATAGACATGTTTGCTTGACTCAGGGCCTTTTACAAAATTCAGAGTTAATTGTTGTTGTTGTAAGGTGCCATCAAGTTGGTACCAACTCATAGCGACCCTATATACAACAGAACCAAACACTGCCCGGTCCTGGGCCAATGACACAACTGTTGCCATGCTTGAGCCCACAGAGTTAGTCGGGAGTATGTAAAATATTGAGGGGCTTAAACAAACATCACTATTTTCCAGCTTTAAAAAAAATTGAGAGTTTACCTAAGTAGGCTAAGCACAAATACTAACAATCGTAGGTACTATCCCATAGTCTTCAAGTTAATTCAGGTTCAAACCACAGACCTCTCTTTCAATTTGCAATAGAGGGCTTAGCCACTGCCTCACCGGTGCTCA